CAGGAGCAGAAGGGTTGAATTTTTTTCCCGATCGTATCTTAGAGTATTGGACAATCGTTAATCTCACTTTTTGTGAGAACTTCTAGCTCGATCTACATTTTTCTCTGCATGTCAGAATGGGACATTTAAGTCTTACACACAGACAATCTAGAAAGTAACTGATCTCTTTATCGAGCTTTCGAATACTTCAAGAGTCTGGTTACAACCAATTTCTTGGTTTTATTCAAAAGAAGGTTCGGTGGACGGAGATATCTAGTTTACAGCTAATAATATCTACAGTAAACGACTTGTGACAATCATGACTGATTGTTCGGAACTTTTTCGTTCATTTGTCCGTTTTGAAAACGTGGACCTGGGAACATATTCTATAATATATCTTCTCTATGAACCTCTTCAGAAGACAGATCAGACAGGGTTATCGTCTGCTTGTCATTTATTATGTCTAAGATTTTTACTCGGCACAAAGATATTATGTTAGAAGAATGAACAGTAGTAGGACGAACTCAAATCAGTTACTGGACAATAGTGACACAAAGCGTTACCGAAATTGAGGCAACTACTTTCGTACTAGTTTCATGGTGTCTACAAGGATATATGTGTTTGAGCAGCAAGGGTTTTACTCGGATAATAATTATTTCTGTAAGGGCATCGTGAACGAGGCTCGATAAAACAAAGGACTTCCATTGTCTGGGTTAACATCGATCGGTGATGGATCACAGTGAGATAATTTACTGAAGATATAATAACACACGAATTTATTAAAAATACGCCAAATCATTAGCAGTGAAAGCTGGAATGTCTGGTTTTTGATAGAACAAAACGGTAACAAATGGTAAATTAAATCAAAAAATGATAACAGGTGTTATGAATTGAATTCTACTTAAAAGCTCCTCCCGAGATAAATATCAAGAATTGGTTCATTTGATTAATAAGAACTCCGACGGGGTGGTGCGAAATATAAGTACGATAGTGTTATTGAATAACAATTTGGGCCAAAAATCCAACACTGTTGCCTGAAAAGATGTAATAACGCTACTAAAATTTTCAGTCACAGGTTGTTAACGATAAAGCAGAAGAATAGATGACAGTGGTTGCGTTTATTTGAATAACATCGATAGCGTGAGAATTAACCAATTAATCAATTGTCTGTTTTTATTGGTGCAAATAAACATTAGATATTGGATATGAATGCGTCTGTACATTAAGTGTTATAAATAAAAAGTGTGAGTTTTGTATTGTCGTTACGAAAATCATTGAATATAAATATCAACGTGGATTTTTCCCTTCTCTGAATTCAGTGCATGAAACTGAGAATTCAAACTTTCAGATCATTTTTATGCCGTAACCTTAGGAAACGTCTCATCATGAATCTGTAGTGACTCACATTTATCACGAGAACACGACTGGTTTAATAAAAACAATTATTATTATAACCAACTGTACCAGTGTTTGTTTTAATGTGCTTTTGTTTGACTGTGCTAATGACAGCTTTATTTTGCTTCCATTCTTTACTTACACTTCGATTGTAACTTCGCGCGAATTCGGTTACCTTCTGTAACCAAGGTTGTATCCTGGCACGATCTCGGTATCCTTTCGATGCCACGAGATCGCCAGCAAATATACACCTCGACTTGGTCCATTAATTGCCTTCTGGTATTCGGCTTCTCGGGATTTTATGGAGTCATTTGGAACGAGCTTCTTACGCCTTCTGATCTATTTGGCACGTGTTTCTTGGTAGCGGTGTTCATAGTTAACCTCAACTCGACGCCACGCTACAATTGGTGACCCGTATTTTGGAACACGCCTCAACTTCTGATCAAATCTTCCAAAGAAGCCAATTCGGTGAGTCTATGATTTATCTATCCACGTCTGTCGTATATTTTCATATTTTTTAATATATAATATACTCGACATGACGGATAACGATAATAATAGTATTAATATAATAGACTCACATGTATGTGTACCGAATCCTTGTTACTTTTTATTCGCGTGACGATGAATTCCACGCTTTATTCGAGAAAGTTTCCCCTATTAACTGTTCTCCTCGCTGACCCGGCTGCTTGGTACGGAATGCATACGCATAAGCATATCTGTCTACCACCCAGCACCAAATGGTTAAGTAAACGGTTTCACTGCCAACTTAAAAGTGCTATACGAGCACACGAAAACGGCAACTGGCACGAAACCTTACCGCTCGTTCTTTTAGGGATCACAACGAGCTTGAAGGCAGATATACAATGTTCCGCCGCTGAACTGGTATTCGGCACGACATTGCGTCTGCCCGGAGAATTCTTCACACCACGGAGCAGACCTAATTTCGGTAAATCAGACTACGTCCATCGACTGTCTGCATTTATGCGAACGCTGTCTCCGGTGTCAACTCGAATACAACATCGACAGGTCGCTCTCCCTCGAGAGTTATCTACCTGTTCACATGTTTTCATACGAGTAGATTCGGTACGCAAATCTTGGCAACAACCTTACGAAGGCCCTTTTCACGTGATCGCTCGTCACGAAAAGACCTTCAAGGTTGATCGATATGGACGCGTCGAGATCGTCAGCATTGATCGTCTCAAACCAGCACACGTCGATGACAGTGCCCTATCTGATAACCTGAGATTCAATGCTAGACCTAGCAAACCTACTAGCGGGATCCTCAAACCATCTTCAGGTCCCACGCTAGATACATCTGAGACCTCATTCTCACGTCCCAGTCAACAGCACGCGTCATCTGCACCGTCTACGGATGAGACGACAGTCTCACGTCCAGATCAGCAGACCACGCCGCCCTTGACTTCGGATGAGATTGCAGGCTCACGCGACGCGAACGAGACTACCGTCTCACGTTCCGGTCGCCGAGTACGGTTACCCGTACGCTTCCGCGACTAGCCGCACAGTTAAAAACGATACGGTGTAGGATTATTCCTATACTACACGCATGCTACACTCTTCTCTTTTTTGATTTTCTTTTTGTTTCCTGAGCCCACGCCTTCGACCATCTCCGTTTGGTTCCGTCGACTTCAGTCAACTTTGGCGAAAGCTGGACTGGCCACCCATGCTCTTGTCAACGCACTCAGTCGATATTTGGTTTCGAATGCTTGGCATACGCTTGGTCTCGAACTTGGTCGTTATGGTCGCTTCTGGTCTTTCGGCTCAACGTGGTTTCGTCCTTCGTCTGCAGCGTTTCTGGTCCGCACCCTACGAACGCCCTCTTCAGATTCTGGATACAAACCACTCTCGTGTAGCATGCCAACTCAAGCAACAAATACAGCACATCGCTCCTGGTACCGTTCTCCGAAAACGACCTTCGTTGGCAACTCGACGATCAACGATCGCTTTCCTGTTCGCCAATTCTTCCGTCCTACAATCGCTCGTCAGCCGATCAGTCCCACGATTCAAACCGCTATTTATCGAAAGTGTAAACCCTTTCTAGCGGGGGGCTCCTGTAGTGACTCACATTTATCACGAGAACACGACTGGTTTAATAAAAACAATTATTATTATAACCAACTGTACCAGTGTTTGTTTTAATGTGCTTTTGTTTGACTGTGCTAATGACAGCTATATTTTGCTTCCATTCTTTACTTACACTTCGATTGTAACTTCGCGCGAATTCGGTTACCTTCTGTAACCAAGGTTGTATCCTGGCACGATCTCGGTATCCTTTCGATGCCACGAGATCGCCAGCAAATATACACCTCGACTTGGTCCATTAATTGCCTTCTGGTATTCGGCTTCTCGGGGATTTTATGGAGTCATTTGGAACGAGCTTCTTACGCCTTCTGATCTATTTGGCACGTGTTTCTTGGTAGCGGTGTTCATAGTTAACCTCAACTCGACGCCACGCTACAAATCCACTAAAAAGGGGTCAACAAAGTTTTCCGGCATTTTTTCTTTAGGCAAATATATTTTTCAGAATGGGTTTTGTGGAGAATTTTAGAAATTTCACAGGTTGAAATCATGAGTCAGTTGAAGCTAGACCACCATTGAAAACCTGGAAGCACTGGATGGCCGTTTCGTCCCGGTATGGGACTCCTCAGCAGTGCGCATCCAATGGTGGTCTAGCTTCAACTGACTCATGATTTTAACCTGTGAAATTTTTAAAATTCTCCACAAAACCCATTCTGATAATAATCAACTGCTCACTAGTGACTGACTTCAGGAAAAACTCCTGGAGTTCTAGTGGGAAGCCGTTACCAGTAGAGTTCAACCGGTCTGTTATGAGATAACAACTCACTGAAGACAATGGTATACGGTGGCGCAACTTCGTGGATTGGTTGAAGTTAGACATTAACACCGTTAGATGCCGGCTCAGTGGTCTAGTGGTTAAGTGCTCGCGCGCGAAGCCAGTAGGTCCTGGATTCGAGCCCCGCGTGGTGCGGGATCGTGGATGCGCACTGCTGTGGAGTCCCATACTAATACGAAACGGCCGTCCAGTGCTTCCAGGTTTTCAATGGTGCTCTAGCTTCAATCGACTCATGATTTCAACCTGTGAAATATATTTTTGCTGAACGTTATACTAGGTCGAACTAACGCGCAACTAACAAACCTCAAGGTGATGCCGGATGGTCTGTCTCATAAAATGTATGTTATAGTTAAAAATCATTTTATTGAATAGCCTTATCTGTGGAGATGTCAAAGGGAAAGTCAGTGCACTATACTCAAGGGTTTCTAAGGTTATGAACGTCGCTGGACAGTTTGATGTAGGTTCTTCACAAACGTCTTCATCAATTAAGATGATGTTTTGTTTAGGAGACTTTTTGGAACTCAAACGGATGAAATAAAAAAGTTAATCGATGGCAGTTTGGCAGGTATCTTTCTAAAGTTTTTTTATTTCCAGCGTCTCTTCCTACCTATATCGTGTCCCCATATACAGAAATCGCTCGAAAGTTTTGTCAAACGGAATCTGGTTGTGAGCTTTGCAGTAACGTCACGTATCTGGGTAAATTTGATTATTTCGTATTAATCGTTGTTAGGTTCTAAGGGCACATATACGGCTATGAGTGGTTTACGTGTAGTATACATGGCTGAGTGGGAACCTAATTCTGATAACTGTAATCTACCATCCAGTTTACTCAATGAGGCTCTTGCAGCAGAGGACAGCGGCTTTTTGGGCGTTGATCTCTTGCTCACTTGTCAGTGGCCGAAACACGTTAATAAACTAACTCTATATGAACTCCCTGACGGTTGTCAGCAATGTATTGACTCTTCCTCGATTTTAATTTCGCGATTGGCTTATCTCACTCGACCAAGGTACCATTTTTCATGTGGTAACGGAGTGTATTACGAAAGGTCACCATACAGGTAATACATGATTTTCAAGCTTATTGTGTATCTTACTCGACAATACAACCGATGAGACTATAATTTATGGACGTACCAATGAGGTATAAGATAACAGGTCTCGGGTTTTGGCGCGAAACTCACTCAATAATTTGGCTAAGTAAAGTTTTGGCGTTATAGATGATGCCAGTTTGTAATGAAAACCTCGAATCTAATGCATAACCTTAATCGTCAACTATAAATCATAATTCTGATTCCTCACACAAGTTTATAACTCTAATTTGGTCCTAGTTGGATCTAGGTGGACACTCTTAAGTTCACTGTAGTGTCACTCAAAGCTCGTCCATAAATTATAGTCCTACCGCACTACTTCTTTTCCTCTTAACAAGTGAAAATCTCAAGTGTCTAGACAAAATGTCAATAAACTATCGTTTCTTAGATTGTTTGGGCATATTGTCCAAACGCTGTGTTGGACAATAAATGGAACACAGTATTGCTGGTTTAATTATATGTAGGCGAACCTTAACCGTTGCTGCTATTTTGACGTGGTGGTTGGACTTATCTGTCGTGATATATCGTTCGGGCTGTACTGACTGGAATAGTCGTTCCTCAAGGTCGGTTAAAGAGCTGTAGGACTAGAATAACTAAACCCAAGGTCCGAGGGCGGAATCGTACTGCTGACTGTACAGAAGTGTGATAGCAGTAAGGTGTTTACTTAGCATGACAGCAATACTGTCTTCCTACCAAGTAAGGGTGGGGTTAGAAAAGATTGACTCTAAAAATACACACCTTACCGTATCCCACGGATATCCGTCTCTGGCGGTGAGATCTTAACAATTATGGAGCCATCACTAAAAGATCGTGTGTAACTGACCTCAATCAGTTGTCCCTTGTGCACTGCGGTCGCTCTCTAGGGTCACTGAAACCAACTCGCACTCAATTTCCCTTTCAGATACCGCTAGAAGAACCCTTCTACGATGTAAGCAACTATGAAGTGAAAACCGCCCTCATACCTTCAAACGCACTCAAGACCACTGTATTCATAATCAACTTCCCTCTTCAGCTTCTACTATTCCTCCTACTTCTACTATCAACTCTAAACTTCATCCGCAAGTGCCACTATAGCCAACAATTCTAGCTGTAGACAAACTAGATTTAGTCCCTAGTTGTTGGGTTCTTACTGTTTTCAAATACACATTTATCTGATTCAACTGTAACTTAGATTCTAGCAAATCTGCTTGTGAAGTCATTGTTAGTTGAATATAACTTCATAAAAGGTTGGCAAAACATCTTTTATCTTGCAGTATGTACAATAAGTAGCTAAATTTGTAGTTAATCATAAGGCAAAGCTGAACTATAAGGCCGAATTGTAGTAACTTTAGATGGGCTGAACATATTAAACTTGTCCATCTTATCAGAATACAACAAATATAAATAAATGATTTGTAACTCTAGGACTAGAATTTAGGATTAGAATGCTGAGTAAGATTTACGGTGAGAATAAGGGTGTAAAGTGTAGGAAAAAGGTTGAAGTTAAGACTTAGATTACTGACAAACCAACTGTATAACTTAATCCCGATTCTGAACCATAACCTTAAATCCCAAACCAAAGTATTAACTATGAAGTTGAGTTTTAAAGTATATAGTGATGCTTTCGTCATTAAAATCGGTCCGAATATTTTTTCTGAGTTAAAACAATATAATCAGTGACCGACAATTCATCTGTATGAATTCTATTCTATTCTCGTTAGACGAGATGCTGTGTTGACACATACACCGTCTTGATGCGATTTGCACTTTGGTGATTGGCTCGTCATCATAGTGTAGCTTTACCAACCATTCTGTGGCGTTCTTCGCTTATTTGGTTTCTTTCTTATTGCGACGGTTCCTCTGTATCCGCTCTGTTTTATGAGGTTTCATAACCCGCTTATCTCACTAGTTTCTTGAAGCTAATTGGCTTGATTAGTTCTTATACAATCGTTACGGCCTTGTTGTATCTTCTTCAAGACAGTTCGTTCACTTCCAGCTTTAAAATTCTATTTTTATGGAGTCTGATACTCCTAACTTTTTTGTTCCTATGATTCGACTGTAGAAATCACCGTGTTTTACAAGAAAAAGCTTGTCATACTACACGTTTTATATCATTGGCAGATGTGAAAAATGAACGTAACCAGAAGGTATTGTTATGTAAATTTTACTAATTTGTTTAGTATTTATATGCTCTCAAGTTAATCCCGATTGATAAAATGGATCATCAGGATTTAATAAATCAACCTCCAGACGTAACAGAAAATCCATATCGCGAATTTGTTGACCATAAACATTCTTTAGATAGAGAAACAGTAAGTTAAACTACTTAATAGATATATGGTAGTTAACGTGTATGGGAAACATGCATATTTCTATTTTTACCTATTTTTTTCGTATGATTTTAAAATAGTCAACTACAAGACCCGAAAATAGATATCTTACTTGTTCACATTCTTTACTATGTACTGCTTACGATTGTACATAATTCTGAAATCCTTTGCTCTTCGTACCAAAATCCACATCAAAAAGACACTATTATGTTTGGGGCAAAAGCCAACGTTGTACACTACATAGAAATTAATATTGACTTAGGATTTGTATCTGTGTATATGTATGATTATAATATACTTCCGTTTATTTAGTACAGCTTTTGCTATATTTATTTATTTATTTCAACACATAGGTATTGGTACAAAGAGGCACCAAATACATATGCGCCACACAAATCTCATTAGATTTGTGTGAGGGCTGTGATACTGTCTGGGTGCGCAAACCGAAGCAGGTGGTTATCTTAAGGGCCACTCCCCGAGCCTTCGACCTGAAGGTCTGATCCACAAGGCAGTGGAACATCGTGAGGAGATGCAGTCCCATGGGAGCCAGTGACCAACAATTGGTTCATACGCCATTTGTTCCTTCAGGATACTGGAGCCCATGTACACCATTGGTTTGGAATCCGGTTAAAGCGCCGGACATTCGCTTTTCGTCCTCTCATTTTCGTAAACAACACCCCCGCCACGAGAAAGCAGTGAGTAGGACTTCCCTGGCAGAGGCTATATGCGCGTGGCCATGTGAGAAGATTTGGAGAGGGAGAGCGGACTCTCCCCACTCTCGGCCGTACCAGGGCATTTGGGGGCTATATGATGATAACTGGTTATACAAGATAAGTGAAAAAACATTTCCCCATTCAGTTTAATTTGGCGAACCACTTCATTCCTGAAAGTTGGATTGTAGAATAATGCAAACTCGTACTACAGCGACGTATTTCTTCATAGTAAGATATATGAAGCACATAGATTCGTAGGTCGTCTATCAAGGTCCACATACGACCGGATTTTGTCAAAATCTACTCCAAACAGAACAGCCAAAAAAGTTCCAACTGTAATTGTCGTTAATAATTGTGACATTTTCTACGTAAATTAAACTAGCTATTATTATTCCATTAAATTGTCATTGTGTAACTTAATCTTTCCAAATTGACTCTTACCCCGGGTCATTATACATCAAAGTGATTATTCCAGTTATATATATATATATATCGTGGCAAGTGTCGTGAGGTGTTCAACTGTGGGTTACTAGGTAGAATTATGCTTCATAAGTATACATACATGCATCCAAATTATTAGCTCTATGTTTTCATATCGATTATTAGGAGGTACAAACTGAGCAATACTTTTATAACATGAATACCAACGAAAAATCAGGAAATCTTACGAAAAAAGGCACTCTTCAAAAGCGCAAAATAAACACTAATACATTGGAAGACACAGATTACAACAAAAGACAACTTGTTGATAAAAATGATACCAGTGAGGAAAGTTTTCAAGAGAAAATCGACAGTAAGTGAGATTTGTTTTCTAGACACTTATGTATACGTTCTTGACGTAATACTGACAGAACTTAGTGTCTCCTTAATCACAGTCACATTTTTTGTTGTAATCATTGGAGAATAGCAATTGCTTCACCTGTCTGCAAGATTCTCAGTGCGATGGAATTAGGTAGACTGCTGTTAACACGATACATTATTGCGAAAGATTGCTCCATGTTGGCTGTATGTCCCGTCTGAATTAAATGGGTTGAAATGAGGCTATTAACCGTTTTTACTATACTTTTGCTTAACCACATTGGGAGGTGCTCACGAGCCCAAATGTACAAATTTCTAGAACATCTACCAATATAACTTGCTCCACAGGAGTAGCTGGATACAGAAAGAGGTGGCTCAGTCAGTCAGTCAGTAACAACGTGGAACTCCGTACGTATGTACATCAGTTCGATTCGCCATACCACATTAGCACAGAGATGCAGTTGTCGATTCAAATCCCGTAGTGATAGTGGCGGTGAGAGTATAAGCAGTAATAGGAAAGATTAGGGTTTGAAGATGTTATTCAAGGAGTGTAATACAGTGAAATAAATTCAGAAAGAAAATAAAGGACATGAAGAATTCAGAAGATTAGAATTTGTGAGAACACAATGTGTGGATGCACTTATGCCATTGCAAACGGTTTTGAGCCATGTCATTCAGGGTCTCTAACCATCGGTTCCGTCATCTCGCGGTCTCTAACCAGGTAGTCTACAAGTACCAACATGACTCAGTCCACTTGTCAGTGACTTCATAGATTTGTGCCATGTTCGGGTCTGGCCGCCCCTAGCTTTCCTCGAAATTACTTCTACACCAGAAAACATCGCACATCGGGGCAGTCGATGGTTGGGTATACGTAACACTTGTCCCAGCCATCTCAACTGATGAAGTTTCACTAATTCATCAATTGATTTGCCATCCTTACCTAGTACCCGTTTCCTAACAACTGAGATACCTACTCGGTGGTCACAGGATTTATGAGCAATGTTTCGAAGACATCTACGATCGAATACTAGTAACTTACGAATATCCTCCACTATTGCCGGCCATGTTTCACAGCCATAAAGTAGGACGGAACGAACTGCTGCACAGTAAACCCGTCCTTTGGTTGGTAGACGGATATCTCTCCTACGCCATAAATGATGCAGGTTGGTAAAAGCTAGTCGAGCCTTCTGTATCCGTGCTGAGATTTCGTCACACACCAGATCACAAGGGCTGATGAGACTTCCAAGATAAGTGAATCGGTCAACACGCTCAACTACTTCACTCCTTATCATTAGTTCGGGTGTCGATGCAACCCAATCCTGAAGTAACATTTTGCATTTCGACGGGGAGAATCGCATTAAAAGTACTTTGAATTAATCTGCTTAACTTCAGTCTTAACATTACGCTCAGTGCATCGCTTCTGAATTATAAGCGTATATACAGAGGCTTTTTATTCACCGTTAGGCATTCCCTATGTTCTCTTTTATTGGCTATGTTTTATTTATAAATTAATCAGGATATTCATTTTCTTTCATGGTTGTGTATAATGTCCCTGTTTAATCTTCGACCGTATATAGAGAGCATATGGTCTGGATTCTATGGTGCAGTGTCTTAATAAGGTTCCTTTTGTATTGCAGAGGAACAAAACGAAGAAGGTTTGTATATTGGCCCGTCCAAGTAGTTTTCTTGTTTATGTTTCTTCTTAGTGACCCGTCTTTTCTCCTTGAAAGTAGAACATCTAGAAAGGCTATCCTACTCCCATTTTCCTTCTCACATGTGAATTTTATTATTTTTCATTATTTTTCAGAATATCATTGTTGATGTTTTATTTTTTGTTACAGAAAACAGAAGTCATGCAGCTTGTTGGTTTTGTTTAGGTAATCCACAAGTGAAAAAACATTTAATTGTTAGTATTGGTACTCAAGCTTATGTAGCATTACCACGTGGTCCTATCGTACCTGACCATGCATTAATTTTGACTATTGGTCATCATCAAAGCTGGATTTCTTGTCCAGAATATGTTCGTTCGGAAATTGAAGAATATAAATCCCGGTTAAAACGTATGTATGCTGCACAAGATAAAGCGATGGTAACATTTGAACGAAATTTGAAAACCCAACATTATGAACTTCAAGTGAGTATGAAAAAATGGGGTCTGTGTATCCATTTACTGGCTTTTGTTTCTTAAACCTGATTTTCACCTGAACAATTAGTTCTCAGGTTTTAAATGTAAGTTTTTGGACGGCAACTCAGACACAACGCTTCTATTTGGGAGAGCTTGAGGTCCTGGTCTCGATCGTCGGTGGGTTCGTGTTAACTATTATTTTGAGGTCGTGTACAAAGAAGAAACGGTTATTTAGTTCTCCCTATTTTCCAATAATTGTCCAACTGAAATCAGTTTGGGATTTAAATCGTTTTAAAAAACTTGATTTTTAGTCAATTTACATTGTTATCTGAGCTGTAGTTTCAATCTCAGTAAATCAGTTTAAATCTTTGTACCCTTAATAATAAGAACACTCTAGTTATAGTTTTAACCTCAGTTATTTCTCATCATTGAAGTTTAACATTTTCTGTGCACGTGTTTTACTTTGATATTTTTAACAATCGTATACGTCTTTGTTTATGGTTTTATTTATTCATTGAAGGTTGTTCCTGTACCATTTTCAGTTGCAGCGGAGGTGAAACAAGTATTTCTCGAGCTATCTGCCAATACTGATTTTAGTCCATGCGAACTAAAACCAGTTCCTCGACGGACAGAATTAGATGAGGTATGTTTTGTAAATTTTTATGGTTTAACTTTAAAATTATTTTAAAAAATATATACAGTATAAATTGAAGGTTAGCTTTAAAACTAGGAAGTAGTTCTTTTTGAGACCACTCCTCGATCATAACTTATAAGGTTCATAAATGGTAAATAGAAATTCAGGAATGTTCAGAAGATAATCGCTAGAGTAATAAACGTTAATATCTTTACTTCACTCATCAGAATGATAATACTAGAAATTTTGATTTGTTGGCATTTTTATTCGCATATTGAACAATAGAAATGACTTACTTCTATTCTCAAACTTCAGGTTATTCTCAGTTTAAACTAATTTTTTTAGTTGTCGTTGTTACTATCGTTCACATAATCACATTCTTTTCTTTTCTCCTAGTCCATATTTCTCGTTATTTATTGCTAGTCCCTTTTCGTTTTTCTGATAACCAAAACTGAAATCATTTTTCGGATTCTACAATTTGTCCGAAAATTTCATTAGATTTCATTTCTTTTATATATTCAGTAACTACCGTTATATATGTTTGTATAATGCAAACTCTCCTATTTATAACTGTTTAATATAGATTTGTAGGGTTGGAATTCCCTACTTTTTTGTTGAACTCCCTACTGGTGAGAAACTTTTTGGACGAATTCCAAAAGATCGTATTTCCAGTGCGAACTTACAATTTGGTCGGTATGTTCATTGTATTACTGCTAATTAATTTGAATAAAAAAACTTTTCACTTCGAAGTGTCCTAACAAATAATGTTAAAAGATTGGCTTTTGTCATAAGTCTACTGGGTGTACACACCATATGACCTAATACGAACGGGTTACCGGTCGAAGTTATCATATCTCATCTAAGTGCAAGAGTAAGGTAAATTAATAACATAAGAAATCGAGGAGTCAGAACAATAGTACTGATATCAGTTACAGTAATATGATATATAGGATGACACTAAGGGCAATATTTAGGGGAGTGAATTGAACTAATATTGCTTTTGAGCTTCATCACCCAAAGCTTAGACTAGCCGTAAGTGGTTTCACGGACTGATGTTGCGTATTAGTTTGATCAGCACTAGTCTTCTAATACATTTTTATGCCAGTCAGCATCACATGTTTTATTGAACTGCTACTATGTATGTGTATTACACCCCATAACCGCTCCTGTTTCAGAGGTTTTTCAGCCTCATCAATTAATTCCCCACTTTTAAGTCTTGCATTTAACCTCGACATCATTTCTACCATTTCCGAGCGATGCTTTGTCAACCCGTATGGTCAGCTACTCAGAACATATACCTGTTCTCCACTTTGAGGGACTACATTTCACAACATTATGGTAGTACATTCACTTGATATTGTTTTACTTGAATTTTCCCATGATGTTTTAGGACTGGAATTGATCAGTCTCATATTGGCATATGTGCATACTGTGCGTATGCCTCGATATTGCCTTAATTTACAAGCATTATGAGCAAAGATGGGAATTAAACTTCACCCCATTGCACAAGCAAGTGGCTATTAGGACTCAGTAGCTAAGTGGATAACGCGGTGGCGTTGAAGTGAACGGTACTGAGTTCGAGTCCCAGAGTGAACATCAACTCTGAGATGCAGGTACATCCAGCTGACGAATCCCAAACAGGACGAAACGCGCGTCCTGGATTTCACTGCTAGCCACTATCCATCTTTGCTTATTATGGTAGTACAGTTGGAACAGTTTCCTAGTAGACTCGCTGTGATGTTCAGGTAAATACCCCACCTACCCTGTAGACAATGCATATCGTGGGAGCTTTTTGACTGCAACCACAAATCCTGGGCTATCAGGACTTCCAAAATGAATGGTGTGGTCAATGCTTTAAACTGCTTAGACTAGACATCGATTAAAACCGCTAGTAGAGTAAATTTCGTACTTGGAAAGAGACAAAGTCACTTCTCTCATTCCTCGATAGTTACCGATGGCATTCAGAATATCTCATTTTATCAGCGTTTTCACCAGACAAAACTGTTTTATCTGCTTACTTTAGGTTAATAGGTAAAAATTCACATAGGTTAGCTTCCTGAAAGTGAAAGAAAAAGTGTTATCATAAGAAGACATTTGTTTAACAAATCTAAGCAGAAACGAATGTGGATTTCACCGAGAAACATCGCTTGACTCAGCTAATCACCATGACAGTTTTCCATAAGTTCCGTCTCGATCAATGATGTTAGAATGCACGAGCCTTAGAGGGTTGACTTCTTTCTTTGGGAGGCCTGTCGTCGGCAGATACTTCCATAAGACCTGTCGTTAGGTTAAGTCGATTACCACTCTCATGTCGAGTTTTTGTATAAGCTTTTTTCCCGAAACCTATCAATGGTGAATCTTTCATCTACAAGATTTCATTAGTATTCGGAAATTATTGTAGGTTTCGTCTACTATGAATGGGTATCGTTCAGTGATCGTGATCCACAGTTTAAATACCACATATAAATTTACATGATTACCGGATTTCAAGTATGTCAGTATATATAGTAAGTCTTCATCAACTGAGGTCGTCGGGACATGTGTTATGTATACCCAACCTGCTTCGGCTTGGGCACCCGAGCAATATCACAGTCCTCACACATATCAAATGAGGTCTGTGTGGCGCATATATATTTGGTGCCTCCTAGTACCAATATCTATGCGTTAAAATAAATAGATAAATAAATAACCCAACCACTGCCTACCTCGACAGCCAATGTTGTCTGGTTAAGGAGTAGGCTGGAAGAAAACTAGAGGTGACCAAACCAAAACATGGCATAATTCCACGAAGTCATTGACTATTGAACTGAGCCATGTTATAGGTGTAGACTACCTGTTTGGGGTCTACGTGATAATAACCAATGTCTGGAGACGGAATGACATGGCTCAGAATCGTTTGAGACGGCTCAGGTACATCCATTCTTTGTCTCCCCTTCAAATTCCAAGCTTCTGAATTCATAATTTTTTTGCTTCACCAATCCGTATTTCCTTCTCGAGTCGTTTCTTCGATGTTTAATCTTTTGTATTACCACTGCTACTGTGACTACCTCTAGTGCTTTCGAATTTTGCCAGGCAATTTCATCTCTGTGCTAATGATGTATTTTTATTTTATTATTTATTTCAACACATAAATATTGGTACAAGAGGGCACCAAATATATATGCGCCACGCCATATTTGTGTGTGTATGGGCTGTGATACTGCCCGGGTGCCCAGGCAGAAGCAGGTGTACGTATAGCAACTTGCAGAACAGATATATATACGTGACAGGTTCCATTTTGCGACTGACTGACTAATATAGTACTGCAGACTTTTGCTTTAGTTCAGTGGGTCATGATTCTGTAACCTGTTCCACCTAACGGTATATAAGAGTAATTAGGTGTACATAAAATGTCAGGAGAGCGGACGCGTAATTTTCATAATTTTCGATTTTCAACTGCTGTTGGGTTGGAAGTTCGTGTCCCATTCACTTTTGTTTGAACAGTGGGTTGTATCACTGATTTTAATGTAAAGAGAAAATGGCTCAAAACTACCCACTGTAAATGAATGACGTTGCCATAACTATCACTACAAAACATCAAACAATATGTACTGTCCATAATCTAGTTCATTGATCTCTGTACAATTAGTTGATCACCGAGTTATGACTAATGACTTGTTTGTGTAATCCCTTTTAGTGCTAATTGAATTCTATCAATCAAGTTACTACGTAACCACTAGTCTAAGTAGCTCAACATTACATGTACTATTTTGAGATGTTAGGTAGTTGGAATAGTCAGTAGGAGACTCTATATCTAGGTTCCATCTTGTTTGACACTCATCAGTAAGGTGCTTGTGTAAACGTCAGTCGTAGCCTGAACAACTTAGCAGTAACGTTTCAGACAGTGTAAATCTGAGTGGCACGGGTTCGAAGCGCACAAAACGAACAAAAGTTTCTTCAAGTTTGCAGGTGCACTTTGCTAACGAGTGCCAGCTATCATAAAATTTGGGTCTAGGGTTCCCTGTTGACTAACTCTCATTACTTAACACATTAATTTGTAGATTTTTAATCAACTGAATTCTTTATTCATCTAATACATTTTTTACTATATTTACAACTAATATGTTATTGTCCCTTTCTTACATTCTTTCTACTATTTCTACTACTTACAGTATTGTTCTAACAGATCCACGTATTTTAAATTGTCCAGAAAAAGCCGACTGGCATGATTGTATAGATGAGGAAGATGAAGAAACTGATTTAGCTAAACATTTTCGAAAAATGTTTTCACCATTTGATGTCAATGATGATGATAATGATATTGAATAAACAGAACCAATTTTTAAAGAAAATCTTTTTTCCAACAGCATTTTGTTTTATTTTTTTTAAAAAGAACGAATTATTCATTCTCTAAACTACCATCTTCATATGTCTTTAACAAATTCTATTTTCTTGTAGTAAATAACGAAATAAGAATGTAAATTGTACAGATTCAATTTCCTTTTTTTAGACAATACTACTATTGAATTATTTTTTTCTGGTTAGTGTTTTTCTAATGAGTTAGTTTTCTACAGGATGGGGTCGCTAATCCTATGCCCAAATGTTATAACGTGTTGCATGAGTGTGCCGTTAATGTATACATAATGATACCCCCAATTAGGGAGCAGTGAATTATCAATCGAACCAATGACACATAAAACACGTACGAGCAGTCTAGAGTCCTTATTGATCCTGCCTCCTGCCTAGCCCAACTAGTTAAGTCCAAAACACCAATCTTAGCCTCTGCAATATGAATCATTTATTTCAAACATACTGAGTTTATATACCAATCAAACAGGCCACAACGTAGTATAAAATAGAAAATAACATTTGTACAAAATTTGGCCAAATGTGGCTGTGAATGTGGGAGACTGTAATTAATAAACTGGAAATAACTTAAGAATGGTAAATCGTATAATAATAGTTCATAGGTCAAAATAAAGCTCACAATAAGAGGGACATGAATATGAACAGTTTATTTATTTAACAATTATACGATAAAAATATACGTATAGTATTGACCGATAAATGGATCTCAAAAGTTACCATTCATTATGCTTATCGGGACATAACACCAACCCTCTTCCTTTTCCCGGGTTTGGGACCGGCAATAACTCTAGAAGAGCTACAGGCGGAGAATACTACTATAGTTTTCTTAAATTAAAAAAATGAACATATTCTCCTATACAAGTGTTATATAGCTAATGATATCTGGTTGTTGAGAAGAAGGAAATCTTGTGTATTTTTTTAAATACGTGAATATGAGAATCCAGATGAAAATAAGCTGGTAAAGTGGCTCCAATTATTATATAGTAGGAAGATTAAATTGAATAAGCTTCAACTGACTCATGATTTCAACCTGTGAAAAACTCCACAAAACCCATTCTGATAATAATCAACTGCTCACTAGTGACTGACTTCAGGAAAAACTCCTGGAGTTCTAGTGGGAAGCCGTTACCAGTAGAGTTCAACCGGTCTGTTATGAGATAACAACTCACTGAAGACAATGGTATACGGTGGCGCAACTTCGTGGATTGGTTGAAGTTAGACATTAACACCGTTAGATGCCGCTCAGTGGTCTAGTGGTTAAGTGCTCGCGCGCGAAGCCAGTAAGTCCTGGGTTCGAGTCCCGCGGGGTGCGGGCGCGGGTGCGTATTGTTGGGGAGTCCTGCACTAGGACGAAACTGCCGTCCAGTGTTTCCAGGTTTTCAATGGTGGTCTAGCTTCAACTGACTCACGATTTCAACCTGTGAAATTTCTAAAACTCTCCACAAAACCCATTCTGAATAAGTAAAACTGAATATTGTTCTCATGAAAACTGATTATACATAATGGTTAAGTTGGAATAGTATGATATTTAAATGCCAAATGAATATGTACATATTTGTGTTCATACTTTGCAATATGTACTAATAGGATACTGATGACTAGTTCAAGAAAGCCCAGAAGTTTGATTTTGGACAAAATAATACTACTAAATAGTAGTATGATAGTTTGTCACCGTAAAATATAATTTTATAATGCTTAATATCTGGCTTAGGTATATTTTATGATCTAAATAGTAAAAGTATCGAGATTTCATTGATTAAGATTGTAACAGAGAACCTGTATTGCAATTTTTCAGGTCGTAAATGGTTGATGAGAATCTGTTAGTATCAAATAAATTCATGTAATTCCAATAACCTTTACATACCTCATAAGTTCGATTCTCTTGCACTCAAAATATTTCCGTTCATGAATCTATTATTTATTTTAGTCGGTTAGTATTATCGAATATCTGAAGAGGCATTCATTTCACCAAGGTTGACAAAAAGCACAAAATTACAAGCTTATTGTGTATTCCGTTAGTTTAATAACAGATGGACTTTTCTAATAGTATCACATTAATACTTACGGCGGACTCACTTGTTTATGGGTTATGTGCTCGCCTTGAAGCATAAACATCTGGAGTGCGTTACTTAATGCGCCGTAGCTTTCAACGATTACCTATTTTAAGTTAGTTCGTGATGTAAATCATCTTCAGTTTAAATAATCTCCAAAAACTTTTCACAGATCATTATATTGGATAGTCGATAGGAGACCATAGACCTAAATTTCATGCTAACTATCAAGATGTATCTGTAATCTTGATGGGACTAATACTCCTTGTAGGGCTCAAATCCATATCACTCAGCTTAACAATCTGACACGTTACCATTAAACTGTTCAGATCACAACTGATCTCATAGTTAATACTTCTAAATATATACACAAAATGTATATTATACATCCTAATAAATTAAACATATATAGAGTTGGTTATTATCAGTTACAATGATTATCTTCTTTTAATTTGACCACATATGGTTGGTACACAAAGATATTTCTTACTCTCATAAATTATTCCTTAATCTGGTTGATTTTATAAGAAAAAAAGGTCTTATGTAATTTACACCATAGTATTCAGTGTTTTGTTCCTACTGACGTCAATTTAGAATTTGTATACAGAGTTTATTTCCATTGTAATAAGGGATTACAACCAATTCAAACTAAAATAGTGTAATTAATATATAGATATATATTTTATTACTTCGGAAGTGAATATATCTCCAATAAAAACAAAAAATCATGATTATCAGTTTTATTATTTATACTAGGTGGGCAAATAATTTTGAATTATCTGTTTTCTTAACAAGATTTTACATTTACCTACCAAATGTGTTTTCATTCATCTAGTAACCATATGAATACCCTTAAATTTTACAAGATTAAATAAATTGAATTATGTCTTGTACAAAATTATTAGCTTAAAAGTCCTATTCTATAAAAGTTATGACTTTATAAATTAAATAGTGAAATTCTGTTGATAAATGTCTCAAAGTAATTTCCCTTTTTAAGTGTCATCAAATAAAGAATCCACTGATGTTTGATGCTGATCATTGTATTAGGTCAAGTGATTGGACATAAAAAGTGGAGGCTATCGGTCAAAATCTAATGTTTGAATTGTAACATGCTGACTACAAGTTTATGAATTAGATCACTTATGAAGTTGTGGATGTAGATTGTTGAGAAATATCAAACTTGAATAATACATTATTAGGTTTATACTCGTAAGGCACATCATAAAGATGTAAATGTGTTGTAATAATTTTTATCATAGCGATATTCTCTATCACTTTTGGTGAGAATAATCTTTATAATACCGACTATTTGGAGTTATTATATCTTTTACAACGAGAAGGGTCTTTTCTGTCATGGCAGAATATAAACTTAGATACAAGCGTTAAATGACAATATTCTTGATTATTTCTTTTCAACATAAACCTCCTAGATGAACAACATATCCTCTTCATATTATAACTAATCGGATCTCGCGTGATATTCTGAAGAATATGATATTGATTTAGTAAGAAAAGAGTGAAAATAGAGAGTATAATGACCAGGTAAGTAAATGACTTGGTGATATATTATGTTGTTTCTCCTACTCACAAGTAGTATAAAAAGTTATTACTCATTTGATGCTATTGAGCTCATCTGTTTTTTGTGTAGAATCTCTAGAAAAAACTCAATAGACTATAAACATCCGTTACGCGTTTGTTCTCTATTCGACAGGTTCAGTGTGAGTAAATTAGATTTAACTAAAGGTGGATAAGGAGTGTTCAAGTGTCAATATATCCTTCTTCGTTAGGAAATTCTTACATTATGACATTAGCGATAAAAATGATAATACAAACAATTGAATAAAGTTCATTTTTTCCATGAGATAAATGCTAGTGTTCTATTGCAGTTGGTCAGTTCTAGGTGCTTCGTAGCGTTCTGAAAATGTTTTTTTTTCACTGAGAAAAATTGACTAATTTATTTATCAGTATAATGTAGTAGTGGATAACGTCCACAGTAAACTATCACTGTTACTGAATCTAGGAAATATACTGGAGGCTATTAACAATCCCAGAGATAAATCCTAGTTCATTCATAAATTAGATCAGATGATAATAAAGATGACTGTAATATGTTAAAAACCCGAACGTTGTTGCTACCTTGACGTAGTGGTCGGGCTTCCCTATCGTGATGAAGCAACCGAGCTATACTGGCTGGAACAACTGTTCCTCAAGGTCCTACCATGTCAGACAGGTCGGTTGAAGAGCGGTAAGACTAAAAGCAACAAACCCAAGGTCCGAAGGCGAAGTCGTACTGCTGACTGTACAGAGGTGTGACAGCAATAAGGTGTTTCCTTCAGACAACCAGCATGACAGCGATGCTCCCTTCCCACAAGGAGGGGTGGGGTTAGAAAAGGTCGACCCTAAAAATGCACACCTCGCCTTATCCCACGGATATCCATCTCCGGCGGTAAGGTCTCAACAAGTACGGAGCTAACACAAAAATTACCCATGAAAAGGTCGTGTGTGATCGACCTCAAGCAGTTGTCCCTTGGGCACTGCGGTCACGCTCTCAGGTCACTAAGACCACCTCTAATCCAATTTCCCTTTCAGGTACCTCCAGAAGAACCCTTCCACGGTGTGGGAAACCGGGAAGTGATAACCGCCCTCATACCTCTGACAGCACTCAAGACCACTGTATTCATAATATTTTAAATAGATAACTATGTTTTGTTTTGTTCTGTATTTTGGTCAAATATTCTATGTACAATGAATTGGTCCGTATGTATTATTTCAGGTGTAATATATTTAGCTAAATAACTAAATGGATTCACTTGAATTTTTCAATGATAATATCATCATATAACAATTTCATTATTATCTATGTACGCCTTACATAAATAAAATCATTCAACTTTACTAAAATGTTTACTCAGAGATCAGGAAGATTATTAATGCCAATCAAGTTTAGCTGTAAAAAACAAAGAAATATCTTTCATAGTTTGAGCGTTACTCAATTGGATTCTCTCATAGTTACAA